ATATAAAAAGTTAATTAAAGAGGTAAAATTCATTTAAATTGTAAGCTAATAGCTAGTCATTGGAATTCAAAATAGCTATAATGACAATTAGCTTAAATGCTTATGTGGAATATATGCCAAGCTAATTGTCAAATTAGCTTGCCGTTGGAGTTGCTCTCATGGTGGGTCCACTAGGTGAGAGAAAATAAATTAAATATTGTAAAAACTTTCTAAATAAGGAAATGTAGCAAGTATTTAAAAACGGCCGAAAAGGAAAGTGGAACAAGTATTTAAAAACGAAGGGAGTATATTTCTAATAAATATGCTCAACTGTTTCGAGGAAATTTTGTCTCAAACTACTCTAAAGATAGGGTCATTTATGAACAACTACCCATTTTTTTTATTTGTTTAAACTACCCATAATTTACAAAATGTTTGGGTAGCACTACCCAGAATTAAGACGTTATTGGGCCCACTTTTCAACTTTTCCCACTAAATTAATTCCCCTAATTACCTTCCCTCTCCCCCCTAATTAACTTCATTTCCATTATCACTCAAAAATCCAAGAGAACATACTTAATCAATTGAACACAAATTCTCAATTATTCAAGTAATGTTTCACACTTTCCTTTTAATTTATTGTTTATTGTATTTGTTTACATGTTTTAATTGAACGCAATTAACATAATTCGTATGTAAATTAGTGATTTGGATTAGGGTTTATGGGTTTAAATAAATTTGGGGGTTTTGATTTCTAGGGTTTAGGGGTTCAATTGAGTTCTAGACTTCGGTTATTTTGACTTTGATATTGAATTCAATTGCATTTTATTTACTAATTGGCCATTATAATTGGTAGGATGTCTAATTGACCATTGTAATTGATAAGATGTCTAAAATTTAGGGGTTTTAATTTCTAGGGTTTAGAGTAAGTTAATTAGGGAGGAGAGAGAAGGTAATTAGGGGAGTTAACTAAGTGGGGAAAGTGAAAAATGGGCCCCATTAACATTTTTTTGGACGGAAAACGTTAATAGGTAGTGTTACAAAAGCTTTTCTTAACTTCTGGGTATTTCTTAACAAATTAAAAAAAAAACGGATTGTTGTTCAGAAATGACCCTAACATTAGGGTAGTTCTAGACAAAATTTCCTTGTTTCAATGTAAAAAATAAAAAAATGTTGATAGTTTTTGAATTCATTTCCAGAAGAACCTAACAATATCCTTATAATATGCCCTGATCCTTATCTTTATGTTAGTGTACCTTTATTATAATTTTATTTAACAATAGCAAAATATATTAATAAAATCAGACTTTACAAAATACGAAACAAAACTAAAACATGGTTTTTAGCATTTAAACCTTTACAATTTTCGACGCTAAAACCAATATTACATAACAAGGGGCGAATATATACTTCAAAACATAAAGAGAGCAGAGAGTACCAAAACTGTTCGATAATGGCTAATTTAACCATATCTAGTGGGATCAACTTATCACCAATCAAAGCTTTAAAGCAGGTCACTTGGACATGTGACCTTTCATTCAATATAAGTTGTTCTTCTTGGCAAGAAACCTTTGAGAACATCGAGGCTCGAGATACCCCAAAACAAAGTTTGGAGGCCTGCTTCAAATATAAAATTTCAAGAGTAATGATTACAATGATAACTACAAAAAAGGGAAAAGAATGACAACAATAGTCATTCCAACACAACACACACTTCATTCTAGCCACAATCAAATTCTTGTTTGTCCCCTAAACAACAATAACACCTGTTAACTCTCCCAACAGTACAACAAAACCAAAACCCTTAAGAAAGGATCCAAACTCAATCTCCCTATGCACACAACCATCTAATAAACTGTAGCCAATACATCCAAAAATATGGGACAACAACAAAGATATACTAAAATTAACCATACAAAAATTAATAAAGTAGAGCAAAATCTGATTAACAACAAATAAAAAAAATATTTAGATAAGAAAAACATGTCAGAGATTCGGACCCAAAATCCGAAACCACAAAAGCAAAGAACCTCAAAACTCTAACCCTAACTTCACCGTATTTGTCATGAGCCATTCTTGATGGTGGCGTTAGGCCTAGCCCTCCAGCGCAAAGACTTGTGAAACCCAACTCTCACTTTACCGTTTTTGTCAGGGTCAAAATTATCAATGAACTTTGACAGCGGTATTAGGCCTAGTCCTTATATCTTGTTTCGCCGGCGAAATCCTTTGAATGTGAAACTTCCACTCTAAGGTGGGTTATGCATGGCTTTCTCGAAATCTTATTAGCCGGGAAAAGACACAAAAACACCTTGTAATATGAGATTAATTGATCTTTAAGAGAAGAGGTGAGGGTGCCAGCTCAGATTTTGTGAGGATGGAGACGCCTAAAAGCAGAGTAGGCCGAGGAAAGAAGAAGAGGAGGAGACTAGTTGGAGTACAGTTTCGACGCCAGAACTCTGGCGTCGTGTTCCTAGGGTTTTATGGAGGTGGGTTCGCAGGGAGAATACAGAGAGTTAGAGAGAGAAACACTTGAACTCCGTGTCCAAAAATGACTTGGACTACAAAGTGGCGTAATTCGTTAGTGTACTTTTAGACAAAGTATATATTTAACTTTTTTACAAGGGTAGTGGATATGTCATAGTAAAAAATAGAGGGAACTTCTTAAGTTGGCAAAATTGTCTGATAACATGATATTCTATTTTTAATACTATATTAGGTTAGTTCATCCCATGCTTGCATAGATATTATTGAATTTTTTTGATGAATAATTCATAAACAATTGTAATTAAGCTTCAAACAATAACTAGATGAAGCCCGTGCGATGCACGGTTTGTTAGTATTTTTTAAAAAAAAAATATTTTTCATATTTATGTGATTAAAATTGTTATTATATTAGTTTTAAAATGTTAAATAAAATTCCTAATCTCAAAATATAATATTTTGTATTTAATTAATTTAAACATTAAAATCTCATTCGCCAATTTTGCTTACGTGACATTTGAATTATTTAATTGTAAAAGAAATTAATAATATCTCATTTAATTGGCTACCACTTAAATTTATAATCCTACATGGCGCTCTAAGAAAATTAAATCCTACGTGGCTCTCTAAATACTCGGGGAAAAACTCCCCTTTAAATATATATATTAGATTGGCACAAGATTTTGTCTCACATTTCTAAATTCATGATAATAACTATAGTGTTATTAAAAGTATGTATAAAATTTTTAGTAAAGATATGATTATCTTAATTAAAATAAAATGTTTGGATTTGATAACATTTAAAACAAAAGGGTAATTTGAAAAACTTTTAGCTAAAAACTTATCCAAAAAAATGACATGTCTATCTTCATAATTCGCTTTTTATGTAGATCACAAAATCTTATATGTGGCTAGCCAAATAATATGGCCACTTCACATAATCACATACAAGAAAATTAATTAAATAATATGGGGTTACGGTGATGAGCAAATGGGGTTACCTTAACGCATATGTAGGTTACGTAAATGAAAAATAGGAGTTACTATCTTAAATACTTCCTCCGTTACACATTATCTGCAACAAACCTTGCTGCACATTTTCCAAGACAAAATTTGTTAATGTTGATTAACAAAGTGAAGGGTTTGAGATTAAGGGTAGGAGAGAGAAAAGGGGAAAAATTAATCAACCACCACTACCACCTGCCACAGCCTCTCACCGACACCACCCACCAGCAACAACATCCACCACCACCCACATCCACCCTCTTTTTGACCCAACCACCACCACCACCCTATCTCGTAACCACCTTCTCACCACCACCATGACCCGAAAACCCACCATCCAAATCAAACCAACACCACAACCATAACCCAATTACCCAAAACTCACCCCTCCAAATCGAACGAACTAACTTCGCAACCGTAATCCAATCACCACAACCAAGATCTGAAACCCCTCCATAACCACCAAAACCAACTAACCTTGCCCAGCTCACAACCACCACATACCCAAATCAATTTTAGGGTTTGATTATGAGGAGAATCGGCGACTATAACAAGGGAAAAAGGAGTCGGCGACGACTTTCACAAGGGAAAAGGAGTTCGATGACTCGATCAACGATGGTTGTGAGAGCGAAAAGAAGACAGAGATCGAAGCAAAAACAAGGTTCGTGCCTTTGTGGTGGTTGGAGGATTTCTAGATATTTCGGGCGGAGGTGGTGCTCAGGTGGATTCGGTGTTGGAGGTGGCTGACTGTGTGGGGAATATTGGGTTGGGTCGTGGTTATGAGTGAAGAGTGAGAAATATAGTGGTGGTGGTGGCGGCCTTGCGGCGGTGACTGCTAAGAGGGAGGTAATGAGTGGTGGATGTGGTTGTGAGGGAGGAGAGAGATTGGGATTAGGGTAAATCATGAATGAATTAATGTAGGTTAATAACATATAATCTTATTCATTTAAGGTGTGTTATTGAAATTAAGTAAGGGTAGATTAGTCCTTTTACACAAAAAAATTTACCATAGATGTAAATATTTACTTTGTTGCACATAATGTGTAACTTCCGTTTTTTGAAATTGTTGCACATAATGTGTAACGGAGGAAGTAAGTGGAATTATTATTTCATTTTTTAAAACAAAAGAAAAGGGGTTACTTGAATGAACAAATAGAGTAACTTATTTCTAAATTACTTGAATTCACTCGTATAATGAATTTGGGTTACTTTTATGAACAATAAGAGGTTACTCTTATGAAAAATTGAGGTTATTCATACATAAAAATGAAGATTAAACTTATAAACTAGTATGGTCACGCCATGTGATTAGCTACATACAAGTCTTACCCTACATAGATGTGTAGATGTTACTAATTACGCAGCTTAGTGATTTAATTGGCATCAGTATATAGAAACACTCTTATTATTAATACTCCCAGTATTTCACAAAATGACCGCCTTGATTGACTTGTTTTACGTGCAATATTCATTGATTGTAAACCTATTACTTTGATAGTGTTGATCTTGATGGAACTTTCTTCAATTACATGCAGGAACACGAGGAAGTTCAATTATTGGAGTAATTATGATAACAAGTCTTTCTTGTGTGGCCTTGTTTTTGAAGCTTCTCTGATCTAGTACCAAGGCGAAGGAGTGTGTCAATTCCGGTGATTATGTCGGATTTTGTTAAGTCGAATTGGATCGGGTTGGTTAGTGTCCGGTCTAGATAAATATGAATCACAATTTGCATTGTGTACTTAATTCAATTGGTAGGTATGCATAAAGCATATGCTTAGCCTTTTGGATGTCCCTGATGTTGTATGCGTGTTTGGCTACTTAACTACTACCTCTATCCCTATTTTTTTCGCCCCATTATAATTAAATGGGTCAAACATAAAAAACTTTGACTTTAAATTTCCATTAATCAACAGTGCATAATAGTCACGTGTGATTTTGTTAGTTATGTCTAATTGTATACACCTGTAGGGAATATTTCAAGCACTACCCCCAAACTTGAACTCCACTGTGATCATACACTTAAGCATGGTGGCGTCCAAGGGGAATGAAGATAGAGCAAAAGAGTCGCCAATAAGTTTTCGAAACTTGTAAACCGTTCACAGGGTGAAGGTTACAACCCTTAATGATCCAGGAGATCGTCAACTCCAATAGGTCTGGAACCATGACTTGAAGTTCGGGGATGAAGGTACAAATCCAATCTAAAAGAGATTGAACCTGCCCTAATAATAAGCCTTTACCTTATTCTTCTCGTATTCATGTGCGCTTTCTGACTAACATGCAATCAATAGGTTTACCCTAAACATGTTTAATCTATGTTGGTTAAATATTAATGCACAAATAAATCTATTATTGGCGATCACTTGAATTATAATCAAATTAACCCTAAACAAGATTATTAATTATTAATTATCTCTATTAAAAAAAAGATTATTAATTATCTTATTAAGCGTAATTACAAGTACAAATTCCCTTTATACATGCATAAAAGGCGTGATCAACCAATAACAATAAATATCAAGCAACATAATATAAGGGTATGTTCTCATTGACTGAACTTAGCTGAAATGAACTGAACTGAACTGAATTGAACTGAACTGAGCTGAACTGAACTGAGCTGAACTAAACTTGTAGGCGTCGTTTAAAGTGCGCCTACGTTAAAAGCATGTGTGAATATGCTTGGCACTCATAGGAAGTGGGAATTGACATTACGATTAGGGACAACGATTAGGGACAAATAAAGTAGGGAGCCGCCAACAAGTTTTTTAAGGAACTTGTAAACCGTTCACGGATCATAAAAGGCAACCACGAATAAGGGACAACGAAGGCAACAACGATTGACCCGTGAAGGTTACACCCCATTCATAATCCATGAGATTACTAACTCCATATGGTTCGGAACCACGAAAGGAGGATCGGGGATGATGGTACGAGGTGAGTCGTGGAGTCACATTCGCCCGTATTGGCCTCTACTCGATTCTTATATTGAAAAACATTCCTGTGATCTCAAACGCATACAAACAATAATTCAATTCGCTCCAAACTATTATTTAACTAAATTGGTTGAATATTAATGCACACATAATTCTAAAAATTTGGTGATCACTTGATTAAACAATAAGATTAAAAAGGATCCTAAACCGGTTGTCCAAATTATCTTATTAGGCGTGATTTTCAATTACATATTCCCTTTAACATGCAATATGGTGATCATAAAAAAATACAATAGAATAAACATTAATATTAAAACCAATTTAATTAGGGTTTCAACAACATAAAATTGTTAGAAAAATAATAATAATAATAAAAGAGCATGATCCTTACTTTGAATCTGTTTGCTTGCAACTACAAAATAATAAACGAGTTACTAACTTCAAGGAAATAATAAAACAATAACTAAATTAAATAAAATAAAATAAGGTTGATTTTGGGGTCAAACCCTCAAACGATTCTACCTTTCACGCCTTGGCTTAAAGACAGAACCTCGAGTAAAATATGGACTCCTTTGAGTGCTTGAAAAAGGAATTTTGAAGTAAAAACGGTAGGCTAGTGTTTAGGTTAACATCATAGAAGAGAGAAAACAAAATTAATAAAATCCTGGGTGCCCCGTACATCAGAAATGAGGAGGGTATTTATAGGGAAAATGTGCTGAGGGAGCACACGGAACCCTAAAATGATAAAAACCCTAAAAAAGTATCCCGTGACACGGTCAGACTGTACTGTGACACGGTCAGACTGTACCGTCAGACGGTACACTTTCCCGTGACACGGTACAGTTTTGGAGTGACGCGGGAAATTTTCAGAAAAAACGGAATGAAAAACGCGTTAGGGGTTTACGCAGAAAGGACACGGAACGTCCCGTGTCACGGCAGACTTCCCGTGTCACGGCAGACTTCCCGTGTCACGGCAGACTTCCCGTGTCACGGGAAGACCCACCGTCAGACGGGAAGGCTTCCCGTGACACGGTCAGACTGTACCGTGACACGGTCACTTCCAGTCCATTTTTCCGTCTAAATTCATTTTTAACCCTAATTTCTTTCGGCTTTTTAAGTGCTGATTGATAATTTCGGGCTTTTTTCTGACTTTTATTATTCGGGCTAAAATAAGAAAATAGTAAAATAAAAATAAAATAAAAATAAATAAAATGATTGGGCCAAAAATAAATAATAAAATAAAAAGGTTTGGGCTTAAAATTAATTAATAAGCTTGGGCTAAAATTAAAACTATGCTTTTACCAAACATCAAGACTAATCCATGGACCTTTCAAAGGTATGAATTTAAATAAATACGATATTTTAAGCACTCTCGGGATTAAATACTAAACCCGACCAATAGAGGCGGTGAAAGGTTATTTATCATCGGGTTTGGTTTTGGGGAGACATTTTTAGGTGTCTACAGAAGCCCCCACTTTGACTGAGTTTGTAGAAACGTTAGTTTCGAAAACGATAGTCAAATTAGTCGATAGGGACGGAGAATGATTTAAGACGTTCTGCAATTCCACAGATAAAAGAGTAAAGGGATAGAATACATATCAGGCACCAGTGTATCGGTGACAAACGAATTTGGCAGCTTCCTAAGCTTGAATGAATCCACCGAGTGACATTTGTTGAAACGCTTTCCATGCTTGAGGAGAGCCGACTGAAGAGTTTGGCAGTTTTCTAAGCCTGAAGAAAGCTACCGGATAATACCTTCCATGCCCGAGGAAAGTCGACGAACGAATTTGGTGTCATTCTATGCTTGAAGAATTCCACCGATATTGCCTTCCATACTTGAGGAAAGCCAACAAAGGAATTTTGTGGTTTTCTATACTTGAAGAAAAATCCACTAATGATGCTTTTCATGCCTGAGGAAAGCCGACTTGGCGGTTTTCTATACTTGAAGAAAAATCCTCCGATAACGCTTTCCAAGCCTGAGGAAAGCCGACTTGGCGGTTTTCTATACTTGAAGAAAAATCCACCGATAACTCTTTCCAAGCCTGAGGAAAGCCGATTGATGAATATGGTGTCATTCTATACTTGAAGAATTCCACCGATAATGCCTTCCATGCTTGAGGAAAGCCGATTTGGCGGTTTTCTATACTTGAAGAAAAATCCACCGGATAACGCTTTCCAAGCCTGAGGAAAGCCAACTGATGATGAGATTGTAAGTCTCTGTGTATCGAGAACCTTGCGTCATGAAATGATGGTGGTCCGCTTGTCCCCGGACGTGGGCTGTAGATAAGACCTGCAAAATAAAATTTTTCATGGGACTCGTACAGACTATGATTGACTTGACCAACTGACTTAACCCAGTTTGACTTGACATGACATGACATGTGTATGACTTGTGATTGTGTGTGTCTTGAGTGAGTGTGTGTACTGACACAAGCAATTAAAAATGCAAAAGCAAAAGATTTGACTAAGTTTGACTTGACATGACATGACATGTGTATGACTTGTTAGCGTGTGTGTATATGTGTGTGTGTAGACACAAGCAAACGAAGATGCAAAAGCAAAAAATTTCCGTCAATTTTTGTCATGGGTGGAGGGTACCGACTTTCTCCCGAAAAAGAAAGATGTGAAAACTGAACTTTTATTTTCGAACTTCTTTCGATGAAAACTTGGAAAAAGTTTATTGAACTTCCCCAAAATAAAATAATGAAAAAGGAAAGAAGTTTTGAACTTCCTACTTGAGCAAGACAAAATGAATCGTATGAATTGAATTACTTGTCCTGAAAATAATGTATGCATGATGCAAGCTCTTAGGCCAGGAGGCTAAGGACAATTACATCATGTGACACGATAGATGAATGAACTTAAGTCATGGAGCTAAGCATCATATATGGTGTAAAGAAGCGATTTCGAACGTCACTTAGGTCTGGAAGCTAAGCACGTATAGTGATTATTGCATAATGAACGTTGCTTAGGTCAGGGAGCTAAGCACGATATGCTTTGTATGATTAAAAATCATTGATATATAAATGTTTCTTAGCACATTATGCAAAACAATGAGCATTGCTTAGGTCAGGAAGCTAAGCAAGTATACAATATTTCTTCTGCTGAATGTTGTCTTTAAATATGATGAAGCATGCACAGTGTTGAAACAAGATTTCATGATAAAGGGTTCTTAAAGGGAAGGATGATTGATATGGATGTGTGAGTGAAGTGTGTGAATGTGATACTAAGGCTGGCTGCAAGGGTTATAGCGATGATGACTCTTCAGGCTGGGTAAGCTAATGTGATTTGGGTTTAAGCCCCCAAGTCTAGCTCTAAATGGGTAGGGATAAGCATTGGATATTCTTTGACTCGATCATGCATGGATATGAATATGAATGTGGCCGCACCTCGATGTGAGGTTGCCTACGTATCCGTTAGGAATCAGGCCGAACGTAGCTCTAACCGAACTTTGCACAAGTGTATGTACACCTCAAAGGGGTCTTTCAAGGGTTGTAATGTAGTTAAGTTTATGGTTTAAGGAAGAAGGAGGTAAAATGCTCAAGACCCTAGAGAAGATCCCAAGATATGTAATTGTGAATTTGAAAATTTTGAATTTTGCAAGTTTATTTTCAACACATTTTATTTTTTATTTTTTTTTTTGCTTTGAACTTTTTTTCATTCTTTTGAATCAATGTATGCAATCTCATATCATGCGGTCCATCACTCACTTAGCATTCATGTTTCTCAGGCACGGTACCGAGCACTCGATGAGAGACGCAATTTGAGACGTGTTCATATCAAAGACATTGGAACACTTGCCTTTAGACATTGTTTTATTTTTGCTTTGCTACTTTTTTTTACTTGCTTTTTGAATGTTATACAATTACACATCTTCAAATCCTAGGGTTGAGTGAATGTGGGTTGAAGAAATGAAGGCCAAACGTTAGACGAGGCTCAAAATGGTTGATGAAGA